ATCTCCATCTAAGTTTTCCAATAAGAAAAAGGGTCACCACATCATGAAAAAGTTGGTATAACTAGCAGCTGGGAGAAGGAGAGAGCAGAAAAGGAGCAACTTGCAACCAAGTGTAAAATATCAAATATATTAGCTACCGCAATAATCTTAAAACTTTTTCGTTGGAAACCTTACTGTCGAACCAAGCCATCTCTCCAATCTACAGAATTTTTTAATGTTTTAAGTATTTCCTTATAAGAAAAGGTTTTAGAATTATGGATCGAGCAGCTAGCTAATATCTCATACTATGTTTTGCGCGAGAGAAAGGAATTATATGTCGGTGACTGTTTGCTAAATTAGTAATTGTGTTAATAAAATGGAATTCAATAATGGAATAATGAAACTGACATTTATGTATGCATGCATAATAAAGTAGAAAAATTCAATGAATTTAACAAAAATTCATGAAACTTGAGGCTTTAAATGGCAGAGCATTATAGGGTTGTTGGCAACTCTCAACATTGTAAGGATTGTACAGCTGAAATAGGATATGGCAAGTCCTACAAATAACAATCCATTATAACATCATTTCAATCCGAACTGGAAGGGCTCTTTGGATTTCTGAGCATAGTCCGACAAGCAAGAAAATTACTATTAGTTTCAGCTCTAATTTCAATAACAATCCTTCGGCACAAGCATTGCCCTAATTTTTAATTTCAATCACATTTAAACATAACAATGCCCCTAAATTTTCAAAGGCCTTTCCTATTATGATTTTTGTGTATATATATATATGTATGTAATGTGTGTGTGCGTAAAGCAGAAACAGAGAAAGAGGAGAGGGAGACAGTGAGAATGAGACATTCGAAATCGAGAGGGAGATTAGCAGAGAGAGGGAAGAGATAAGATGGCGAAATACGAGGACATACCTGGGAAGGGAGACAAAATAATGATCTAGCAACGCTCGCTGGTGATGGCGATGGGAGACAAAGCTATAGAGAAGAGGGCAAGAGGCGTGAGTGAGACGCAAGTCACAGAGGCGATGGGTGTACCAGTGTATAATCGATTATAATTGGGAATCAAGGTTGTGTATATATGCAATGTATGTATGTGTGTGTGTGTAACAAGCGAGAGAGAGAAAGAGGGAAAACCGGAGGCCTCTGTGAGGAAGGAGACAGAAAATGAGAGGGAGATACAGAGAGATAGAGGCGAATAGCAGGGACATTACTTGGGAGGGAGACGAAAGTTGATGATTCAACAAGGCCTTAACGGTGATTGGCGATGGAGACAGAGCAGTGACAAAGGCGGGAGTGAGAGATGGAGGGAATGGACTTCTATTGGCAATAAAAATTAAACTTTTTACCAAATTTATTCCCCGACGCAACATTCGATTTGGTTGGTCATTGTGTTTTAATATTTCCCTCCTGATTTTGTTCCACGTTTGGGCAACCAATTTTTAATCGGTAATGATTTCAGGATTTAGCGACCAAAATAAAAATAGTCAACCCAAAACCTTATTTTTACACGACTAAAACAGTTTAGTAGCCAAAAATGAATTAATAATAATGTAAAGACTGTGAATTAGCGACCAACATCATTTTTAGTCGCCACAAAGAATGAATATTTTAAACGGACTAACACGTAATTAGGCCGCCAAAATTAAAGCCAATACCGACTAAATGTATTTTAGTAGGCAAAATAGTGGACTTTTTACCGACAAAAAAATAGTTAGATTAGCTAATGATATACCTTTGGCGACTTAAATATTGTTTTAGTATGCTAAATGTGTCTACCATTGCGCGACATAACAAATTTTTGGTAGCTAGAATGTGGTATACCTTTGGCGACTAAATTTAGTTTAGTCGGCACAGAGTAAGTCACTGAGGTCATGTTGATTCACAAAACTAAAGTGAAGTATTAATAATCTCTATTGGAATTAGTGGTGATATTCCATTCATCCAATTTCGATTAAATATCCAATGGATTAAATAATCCACCCTACCACATTACTAATAATCCTACTACAAATTTGTTTTGGATTAATTAATCAATTAGTTAATAATCCTAAACCCAAAAATGTTAAAACAAACATAGGATAATTGGGCCCACGGATTAATAATCCAATCCATACTCTAATCCACTTAATCAACATGCCCTGAATGTGTATTTTTGTAGTGAAGGGATGTGAGAATGACACAAATTGTAGACATATCGGAGAAACTAAAAATATTGTGAAGAGTAATATATGCATAATATTAATGGGAGGTACTTATCATTTTTTTTAATGGCCAAACATTAATAAATTTTGTTATTGAATTAACACTTAAAAAGAGTTGATATTCACACATCTCTTTTTCACCCTTAGAAGAGAGATTTGTCTTGGTAGGCAAAAGGCTAACATAGAAGTTAAAATTGGCTTGAATCTAACAGTACCTTACCACCTCGGTAATCCTTATCCATACATAAAGGAGAAATCGTTGGAACACTATATGACTGCAGAATTTATCAGATATTTTTTAAGCACTAGAGAACAGTAAAATGAGCAATTCACATAAAAACATAATAAGATGTTTTTAGAAATTAAATGTTTTTGGATTTCTAAAAGTGAAATTTTGTTAGCAAAGACAATTTATGGACTAATTTTATCGTCAAGAGTATAGTGCGCTAAAAAATCGTTGCCAAAAATGCAAAAACAAGGCTTTTAGCGTATAAAATTTTGAAAAATGTCACTAATAATAGACTTTAGGGGCAAAAAATTAATTTGGTCACAAAAAATGGTTTATTTTTTGAAATAAAAAATTAATCCCAAAGGATAATAATTCAAGCACTACTCGTTTAATTTTCGTTGCTAAAAATATAATTATGAACTTTTTCGGTAACAAAAATATTTGGTCCTTAAAAAATAATGTTTGGTCCCTAAATTTTTTTTCTCTAAAACCTTATTTTTTTTGTAGTGATTCTAATATACATTGGAGGTCTTGTTTGGCAATTTGAATTTTGGCTAAAATAGTTAATAAAAACAAAAAAAAATGCTAAAATAGTCAGTAAGACAAAAATGCTTATAGTCATACACTCAATCAATCATTTTTTTCTTCTTCATAACCATTTATTCCACTAAAAAAAATTCACTAAATATTCCAAACACAATTTTTTATTTATTTATTTTTAATCTGCATAAATAGTCACAAAAAACAAAATTATAAAAAAGATTTAAAAAATGAGAAGGCGCTAGTTAGGCACATGACCAATATAAAATATTAAAAAAATTAGTCATAGAAGGAAGCAAATCAACTACAACTAAAAGAATTTACACATTTTTAACGACGCACTTTTTGCCGACCCAAAAGAATTTTGGTCGCAAAAAAATGACATTTGGTCGACCAAATATTAATTAGATTGCGATGATCCATTATTTTTGGCGCAAATATTATTGGTGCGCAGAAGGTTTATATTTTGGCGAACCAAAAAAATATGTTGGTCGGCAGAAAGTGGTATTACTTTTGCCGTACCAATTACAAATTTGGTCGCGGAAGTCACATATTTTTTGGCGACAAAATTTGGTCGGGCGAAAAACTTTATTTTCAAGCAACCAAAAAAAATTTAGTCGGCCAAATTAGTACTTTTAGGGGCGACTAATAATTTTAGGTCCGCTGTTTGATTGAGATTTGGCGACTAAAAAAAATTTGTCGGCGAAAGAACTGTTCTTTGCGACTATTTGATCTTTTGGTCGCCAAAAAGTTTGGGGGGAAAATTTGAAAGCTGGAGGGGGAAATGAAATTTGGAACGGCACCGTCGCAGCTCCTTCATTTAGTTGTATGCATGTACTAACTGTTGCAATTGCAAGTGTGGAACAATGAAAGGATAGTGGCGGGCGGAATGGGTGTGTTGTGAGGGGTGGGGACTGGTGTTGGGCCTAGGACCAAAAGTATGAAAAGCACTTTCGAAGTAGCCAGATGACTCCCCAAAACCTTCATTTTCTCTCATTTTCTCTCTCATGTCAAAAACCCTTCTCTCCCGCATCAAACCTCGTCACAACCCCAAACCCAGTTCTTCCCCTTCCTTCTCCTTCAAACCCTTGATCAAGTGACTCGTCAACGAACTCTGTGACATCCTCAAAACCCACCACCACAATCAATGGCAAGACACCCTCGAAACCCGCCTCTCTGAAGAAGAAATCGTCCCATCTGACATTGCCCATTTGGTGCTCGACCGTTTCTTATCAATTTCTCAACAAATCAATCAATTCAAACAAAGACTGTTAATGGGAATATCTATTTCTCTCTTCTCTCTGTCTTACTCTCTCCTCTGATTTGTAAAAGTAAGTCAAGTTCTAAATACTGAATGGTGTTTGATGTGGGTGTGTAGGGACAGGGCAAAACCCACAAAATACACAAAGGACAGTCGCTATTGTGGTGGGAGGAGTGGCTGGTTTTGGGTTTGGAATTGCCTGTTTGTTGTTTCTAAAATCAGCTTTTAAGAAGCGAGAAAACAAGTATGAAGGATGATGATGAGGTTAGTTTCCAACCGTCTACTACTCTGTTTTCTGCTTTTTTTCTCTGTTTTTTTAATTTTCAAAATGAAAATATTCCTCTTGCTATGAAGAATTTATTAAATTTTTTGTTTACAGTTTGGTATTTTGTGTGTGTGTGTGTGTGTGTGTGTGTGTTGTGTGTGCAGGGTGAGACTACTACTATTATGTGCTTAGCTGCTAAGTTGGAGGGGTGTAATGTAAAAGAGAGAAGTTTTGCTTTTTTGACTCTGTTTTGCATTCAGATATTTCTTCTCCACCTAGTTCCTTTTTCATTAGTTTTCTTTCTTTTAAACCAAACAGCCCTATCTGTCTAAAAAAATACACATTTTAGTCATAGTTGGCCTTTTTCTTTTGAATGTACATGCACAGATTGAAATATATATATATATATATATATATATATCTATTTGTGAATAGTAGCTTTTAGTTGGCATTAAAGGTTTGTTCTCCACTTTACTACATAAAGAGCAATTATTAGGTAATTAAACACACATGTTCAAGTGAAATTGTGTTGCCAAGTGATAGTCAATAAAAAACCTTCGTTTTTACCAGTTACTCTAGTGACTAATCTCCAAAAAATTAGGTTTACTCTGGCAAAGAAGCAGGAGCATATTAGGTAATTAAAAATCTATTGTACCTTTTACCTTTTACATTGGTTTGGTCATATCATGTATTTAGTTCTCAATCTCATCAAGCAATTAAAATTTGAACTCTGGTATATGGATTTATCGGATCCATTCTGTTTTTGATGATCTTGGGTCCAGAGCTCTTCCAACTTTCCTCAATTCCACCATGAATGCTATTGAGGTACTACTACTTTCCTCTTCTATTTCTCACACTCATTTTTGTTTGTTTGTTTTTTTTTCCCCATATGAATTCAGTCAGATTCACACTATGTTCGACTTCAAGATGCAATTCAAATTACTCTTTGATGTCTTGTGAATTTTGAAATGGCTGTTTGGGTTAAAAAAAAAAAGCAAAGAGTTTTGTTCTTAGTTTACAATTTCACTGAAATTATCACTAAAAGCACATGTAAAATTCAAATATCTGCTGTGTGGATTGAAAACTATGCAGAAAATTTGCTTATTTTCTCTTAAAAAACTTTCTGTGAGTGTAGTGTATCATCTTAAATTTAATAATGTGATATCTGAAGATTGTTCTCTTTATGTTGAATTGTAATGTGAGTAGGGAATCATTGGAATGGTTGGGCTTTCTTGATCTAAGAAAAGGGTTATCAAGATACTTCACGATGTCAATGGAATCATAAAACCATCCAGGTTGGTTCATGAATTCCTCAATTTTAGATTAATGCTACTTGATTGATTGATCTACTGGAAACTAGAAAGTTTTGGTCTCCAAAAATATAATCCAAATGCCTTCATTTTATTTTTTTTTCTTTGTGATTTGAGAAATGAATACAATATAAAGTTCAAAACACCTAGTTTTTGTTTTGTGCTAAAACAGTTTTTGAAATTTTTCTAGAAAGGGGGTTGTTTCTAAAAAAAATTTATGAAAAGATTTTGAAACATGGAGAGAATGATTGCTATCAACCTCTTCCTAATGGGCACAAGCTTTTCTTCCATGATATAAGATGGGTAGCTGTATGTGCAGCTGTTGCTATGGGTGAGGAAGGCGATATGGTTGTAAGTCTTTGAGACCCCATTCTGCTTTTCTTACCAGTTAATTTATCAATTCATATTTAGTGCCATAAAATTTGGGGGTAAAAGTCACTCAAAACTAATGGGTATAGAAACACATTGATTTGTGAAAAAGAAAATTAGAATCTGTCAGCTTCAACAGTTCCATTACTTAAATGATAGAAATGAGTTTATTCCTGAACTTTTCAATAGAGATACATAAATAGTTTTGTTGTTCTAATATGACAGCAAACTAAATTTTATTTGTTTCCCTATGTAGCTTTTGGTGACTGTTAAAGAGTTTGGGATGTACGGGAAATGGGAAATGGGAGATGAGATAAATTCTAGAGGTTCTGATATTGAAATTTTGATATTGAGATTCTGATATTGAAATTTTGTTCCAGAGGTTTTGAAGCTTTGGAACTCCACTCGGATTAATGAGCATACTGAGAAGGGTGATGCTTTCCTTTCATCATTAATACCTTAATGATTTCATGGAGGAAGAGTTAAGCTACACTCTATACTGGCAACCCTTTCTGAATTTGAACATGCTGAGAAGGGTGATGCTTTGTACGGTAAGTAGCCTCTTTTACATGCTGTGCAGAGTATATTTGTGCATTGTTCATGTTAAGAATTGTAGAACACCTAAACACCTAATCAAGATAGGTGAGATATGAAAAAATAGGGAAGAATAATAAACAAGAGTATAAATCACACCCACTCACAAACACATAAGATTAATGTGATTCACCTCAAAATTAAGAATAATAAACAAGAGTATATATATATATATATTGTTTACTTTTATTTCTAGCCATATCGTTCTACCA